AATGTAGAGAAATAACAAATATATGAGGAAATCAATATAATGTCAAATGTTGTTATGGTTTGGGGGAAAAATAAAGGGTTTTTGGTACTTCACACTGATTCTTCTTGCTCTGTTTCTTGTTTTAAATATCTGCTATGGGCTGAGAAGGGCACGCTTGGTCCTAGAATAGTTTGGCTTTGCCTTCTTAGATTGCTCTGGCAGCTGGGAGAGGAGATCCCAGCCCTTTCCTGGAGAGGGCAGCTGGCAGCACAGCACCAGTCCTGTGGACACACCAGTCCCAGGGAAAGGTGACACCTGCCTGAGTCCCCAGCAGTGTTCTGTGTTCTGTCCTGTCTGTCCCAGCCTAGGCTCTGCCTGAACTGCCTCTCCTGTTGGGGCTATCTTGCCAGGCTCACCTGGGGGATCGAGCCCACAGCCCAGCAGGGCTCCAGAGAATAAATCTCTCTGGATCCTCAGCGCTTGTACCTCTTGGCCAGCACAGGCTCGCCACCCCTTTAATGGAGGGTTAGCCAAATTCAGTGCAGATGGTCACTGCTGATGCGTGACAGGGCTGGAGGTGAACAGGAGCCCTGTGAGGAAGCGGCTTTTGCCTTTCGCACCTTCCCGCCGCCCCTCCGGACCCGCGCCCGGGCCGTTCCCGCCGCCCCTCCCGGGCGTTTCCCGGGCCGTTCCCGCCGCCTCTCCGGAGCCGCGCCCGGGCCGTTCCCGCCGCCCTCTCCGGGCGTTTCCCGGGCCGTTCCCGGAGCCGTTCCCGCCGCCTCTCCGGGCGTTTCCCGGGCCGTTCCCGGGCCGTTCCCGCCGCCTCTCCGGGCGTTTCGCGGCTCCGGGAGGTGACGGAGTTCGGGCCCCGCCCCTCCTCCGCTGATTGGCCGCTCCCGGGGCGGGGCTGGCGGACTGCTCGCTGATTGGCGGGAGCGCCGGAAAGGCGGGGCCGGCGGGGAAGGAGGCCGGGGCGCCGCCATGGTGAGTGCGGGCCCAGCCCGGAGCGGGCCGCCGTGGCGGGGCGGGGAAGGGGCGCTGCTCGGCCCGGTGGCACGGGGGGCTCGGGCCGAATCGCGGCCCGGAGCCCTCGCGAGGCTCCCTGGCTGCCGCCGCTGCGGAGAGACCGGTCCCGGCCGCATCGGGTCGGTCCTTGGGATGCGGTGTGTGAATTGGCTCAGGGAGCTGCCTGCGGCAGGCCCCGGCGGCCCGCGGCGGATTATCCCGCCGCAGTGTCTCATCCGCGCCGTCACGGAACCAACAGCAGCTGCCTTGAGCCACTCCTGGCCAGGCGCTGCCGTGGCGATCCCCTCTGACTGTCTCTCCCTTTGCAGGCCACAGCGACGGACCAGCTGGTTGGGTTTGGCTTGGTCGCCTTCAGCCTCGTCCTCTTTGTTTACTACACCCTCTGGATCATCGTACTGGTACGGGTTCCTCTGGCCAATATAATCGCAGTCACTCCATACTCAGGTGTTTCCCTGACCATTGTTCAGCTGGTGATGTGTCTGTGTGCCCCAAGGACTCTTGCCTTCTGGGTTAAACATTTCAGGGCAGAAATGTGTCCTCTGTGTGCTGGCACAGTCCGTGTACTCTCTGGGTATCACACTGATCGTGGTGTCCCCCTGCTGTTCCAAGACGGGCTGACCCAACTGGGGCTGGATGAGCCATTGGGAAGAGCTGGAGCCTGGCCCTGATGGAGGTGTAGTCATCAACGTCCACGTTTGCATTCCCTAGATTCCTGGTTCTGGTGGGAGATGACAGAGGGAAACATAGAAAGAGGCAAATCATAACACATCTGGAGCCTGGTAGGGAGGACAAGAGTTTAGGGAATGCAGGGCTCTGGAAATGTGATTGTGAGGCTTCCCATTTTTGGGGACACATCAGCTGAGGTCATTAGCGATTTTCTCCCTGGAAAGAAACTTTTCCCCACGAGCTTTCTAGGTTCAAGAGGCCAGGTTCAGCCCTGAGCTAATGCCTGAACTGCCGCCAGCTTTCCCTCCAACTCCAAGGGTTTTGAATTCCCCTCTTGCATCTGCTCACTGTGCTGCCCGAGCCATGTCTGTGCCGGCATTCCCAGAGCTGTCGGAGTATTGGCTGCTGTGTGGGAATCCTCACACTGCTCCCTAGTGTCTGGAGCCTTCTGCTGGCCTCTGCAGGGGGATGCTGCTGGGATAACCATGGAGCAGAGCCAGCGTCAGCTGCTCCCTTCTGCAGAGCAGAGACAGGGATTTGCTGTATTCTGCACCAGCAGCTCTGCCCACCCCGAGCCCCCGGGGCTGTGGGACCCTGTGCCAGCCCCAGAGCTGCCCCTCGTTGTCCAATGAACGCCAAAACCATCACTGCCCACCCACTCTTGGTCTCTGTGGCTGAGCCACCTGCAGGTCTGGGCACCCTTTTTTAGTCATCTCACACCAGATATTTCCGTGTTTCTCCCAAAACCTTGAGGCTGCACCTCGAGGTGTTGTCCCCACCTGCTGACACCCCTCTCTGTCCCTGCAGCCCTTCATTGACAGCGATCATGGGATCCACCAGTATTTCCTGCCTCGGGAATACGCAGTTATCATCCCTGTGGCAGCCGGGCTGCTGCTGCTGCTATTTATAGGTGAGAGTTATTTCTGTTGTTCTAATTAGAAACTTCTAAATTAGGAAGAGAGAAGAGGGTTGCTGTGGGTTTAGCTAATGTGTGGCACTCCTGACACTCTGTGGTAACTGTTGCAGCTCAGCCTGGCAGAGGGACTTGGGTCTGTGTTTGTGTGTGACTTTGGCTGTTGGAGCCTCTGGACAGCAGAATTTTCTTGTTCTGCTTAGATTCTGTTTCTCATTACCAGGTCAACACCTAGAGATGTAGACCTAGAAGTGCCTGGAATTAAAAGTTTCCTACCTGAATCTGTTTTCTCTCTCATGGCAGGTGTTTTTATAATGTTCGTAATGTGGAAGAGCAGGAAACACGCCAAGAAATCAGACTGAAGGCCCAGCTGAGGAGATGGGGAGGTGCCCACACTGCGGCATCGTAGCCAGGAAAAGACTTTTCCTGCAGCTCCAGGCAGACATCTCCAAGGTGCCCAACACTGAGCTGCTCCCACGTTCCCTCCTGCAGAGACTAAACCTGTAGTTTACAGTTCACTGACCAAAGAGAAGCAGGATTCATCCAAGGCTCATCAAGTGAGGGACCAGAGACCCTGCTGAGGGACCTGCTTCCCCCGCTGGGGCTGCCCTGCCCACTCTCTGGGTGCTACTTCCCCTCAGCTCTGGCTCTGCCCAGTAGTTTGTTCCTTCTGGGAATTTTATTTAAAAGTTTACCTACAGTTTGTGGGGGTTTTTTGATTCAAGTCTGAAAGGAGAGAAATGAGACTTTGGGCTTGGAAAGGACAGGTTTGCCTTCTCCATTTGCTTCTGGAAGGGCTAATTACAGTGCTGGGGGCTCTTGCCTTTCTGAAGAGGGACTCCCACAAGGCTGGGTGTGCAGAGGGTGCAGGGACAGTGCTGCCCTCTGCATCCCACCCAGCTGAGGGGGTGGTGAGGAGATGTCCTGGATCACAGCAAAGTATTGGGTGTGGTTCCCATCACAGCTCTCAGTCCTGGCTGGATTCCTGCCCTGGAGAAGGCTCCATGTGCCAGCCAGGCTGGGGCTGATCAGGCAGGTGTGGTGGCAGTATCCTTCTCCTGTGGGGTTTCCTTTCCTGGCAGCTCCCCTGGACCATGGGGCGAGCGGGATCACCCTCAATAAAGGTCTGTAAGTTCTCGCTCCCTGTCCTCTGCCCATGCCAAGGGCTGCCACAAGCCTGCCAGGGTGGGTTCAGCTGCGTGGCCCTGGCAGTGCATGACATCCTGCTGAAGAGGTGCTGCTGCTGAGGTCAGGCAGGGAAGCACCAGAGAGAACCTGGCCCAGCTTTGTGCTGGCTCTGCCATGCTTGGGGCTGCTGTACCCTGCCTGGGGAGGGTAGATTTGGGGAACTCTAACCCTTCTTGCATGTACTGTGAACTTCCTGCCAGCAGCATGTCCCACAGTCTCCCATCCTGCCTGGGGGTGAAGTTGGTGGCTTGGGACACCCCAAGGGCCACAGCTGAACCTGGCTGCAGGAGCCAGCAGAGGGCCCAGAGGTGAGGCTCTGGCTGGAGGCTTGTTTCCAGCTCTTACAGAGGCTGCCAGGCCACGCTGAGCTGTCAAACCCATTGCTGCCCTTCCCTGCCCCTCACCTGCTGGCCAGGGCTCAGCCCACCCCGCAAGGGTGGTTTTGGGCTGGGGCAGAAGGAAGCAAAGGGTAGAAGAATTCGGTGGTGACCGAGCAGCTGCAGGTGTGACCTCCCCCTGCAGCCTTGCTTCCTGTGCAGGAGCCCAGTGCTGTCCCTGTCACTTCCTCTCCCTCTGGTTTCAGGCCTGTTCAGGACAGGGGTCCGTTTCAAGGTTACATCTCGTGTTTCTTTATCACAGTGGGAGAAATCAAAGTCCAGTGCCCTGCCCTGGGCCAGCAGGTAGCTCGCTCTGGGGACAATTCTCAAGGGTGCTCTGTGGCTTGACCCTGGCAGGAGGGGCTGCAGGTGATGAGCACCCCCCTGGAGCCATTTGATGGGGTCTGGGGTACTGAAGGTCTCACCTGCCTTGGCCCCACTCCTGAGCCATTCCGGACCCTTGTGGTGTCCTTGGGCTCATCGGGAGCTGGTGCTGCACGGAGGTGGGAGATCACAGGGAACCGGGAGGCTGCAGGACCCCCGAGCGGGAAGGGAGCCTAAGAGGGCAGAGCAAGAGGAGGAAAGAGCCATGGGGTCGCTACCGAGGCACACGGTAGGGAGAGAGCGGGGATCGCTATCGGGACACACGGGATGGGTGCCGGGGTCGGTCCCGGTGAGCCGGGCACGAGCTCACGGGCACGGGCGGGCGCGTCCCCGGAGGAGCCGGCTCGCGGGGCGGGGCGGGCGGGGGCGGTCCCGGTGCCGGTCCCGGCAGTGCCCGCTCGGCTCCGCCCCGCCTCGGCCCGCCAGCCCCACGCCGGGCGGGATGCAGGACCCGCTGGTGGCAGCACGGGGTGCTCCCGGCTCGGTGAGTGGGGCCGGCACTGGGAACCGGGGACGCCGTGCCGGGGGGACACCCCGGGCCCGACCCCTGCCCAGCGGGGCGGCACCCGCGGAGGCGCGGGGGGGATCTGGACACGGAGGGGGGACCTCGGGGATCGTGGGAATGAGGGTGCGTGGGGGGATCCCGGTAATGGCCTCGAGGAGGTCCCGGCACGAGGCGTGGGGGGGAACCCTGGGCCTTGGGGGACCGGAGGGATCCCGCTGGGCGACCTCACCCCGGGGAGCCGCGGCTGAGCCCGCTCCGCTTGCAGGGTGCGAGCCCCCATCCTCCCGGTGACCCCCGGACCCCGCCCGGTGAATCGCCAGCCCCCCGAGGATGAAGACGCTGGTGAGTAGGGGGTGGGACAGGGGCGAGGGGCCGGTGGGACCCCGCCACTATCGGGGAGCCGCTCGCCCTAAAAGCGCTGCTGGAGGGCGCCGAGCTGTAGGGCGTGCGGGCATCGCCGCTGCAGGGAGTGAGCCGGGCCCGGCATCCCAACACACCTCAACACCCCCGAGCGGCAGCTCCCTCATGGCCACGGGGCCACCGGCATCCGGCGCGGGGCCGGTGCACGTGGGCAGGCCCGGAGAGCTCCCCCCGCTCTGCTTCTAGGTCCGGCTCTTCCTCACGCTGGTGTGCGCGATGGTGGTGGCCGTGCTGTACATCCTGCTGGGCTACCGCGCCCGCATGCAGCCCTGCTGCCAGGCCCCGGGGCTGCGGGACAGCCCCGCCACATCCAGCGTCCGCAGCTTCCAGGGGTACAGCCGCGTTCCCGACGGGAAGGTGAGTGGGGATGGGGCGGCGCTGGGGCTGGTGGGGCAGCTCGGCCCACCTGTGCTGTCCTTTGGGAAAGGGGTCCAGGGGCTGTGATGTATCCAGCCGCTGCGGGAGGGGAGAAGGAGCTGACGGTGCATCTCCCCACAGCCTCTGGAGCGAGCGCTGTGCCGCCACTGCGCCATCGTCTCCAGCTCGGGACAGATGCTGGGCTCCCAGCTGGGACAGGCCATCGACAGGCAGGAGTGTGTCCTGCGCATGAACCATGCCCCCACCACCGGCTACGAGCAGGACGTGGGGGCACGCAGCACTATCCGGGTGGTCTCACACACCAGCGTTCCTCTGCTGCTGGGGAACCAGCCCTACTTCTTCCAGCAGTCCCAAGAGACCCTCTACTTTATCTGGGGGCCAGCAAAGAAGATGAGCAGGGAGAAGATGGGCTCAACCTACCAGGCACTGCTGAAGGTGACAGAGAAGTACCCCCAGCTGCAGATCTACACCCTGACCGAGGAGAAGATGGCATACTGTGACGACGTCTTCCAGAATGAGACAGGGAAGAACAGGTACTGCTGGCTCCTGAGGAGCCCCATTGGGTCCCCCTGACGTACCTCCTGTCCCTCCCATCCATCACCCGTAGTGTGGGTGGGCCAGGGGCACAGTGCCACCCACTCCAGTATGACCACCATGCTTTGCAGGATGAAATCCGGCTCCTTCCTGAGCACGGGCTGGTTCACCATGATCCTGGCCATGGAGCTGTGCGAGCAGATCTGTGTCTTTGGCATGGTCAGCGACAGCTACTGCAGGTGTGGTGGGGGTGACAGGGGCAGCTGTGGGGTGGTCCGGTGTACCCCCAAGTCCCACACTCAGCCTGTCCCCTCCTGCCAGGGAGAAGAACCACTCCAGCGTGCCATACCACTACTTTGAGAAGGGCCGGCTGGACGAGTGCAAGATGTACCTGATGCACGAGCGAGCTCGCCGTGCTGGACACCGCTTCATCACCGAGAAAGCCATCTTCTCCCGCTGGGCCAAGAGGAGCAACATTGTTTTCAACCACTCATCCTGGGCAGGCAGGTAGGGTGCCAGCCACAGGGTGAAGCAGCAGGAAGTTCGGTGGCAGGGCAGCTCTCATACTGCAGCAACGTGTCTCAGCTCTGCCGGTGCCGTGGTTGGACACCTTTTGCCAAGCCCTGGAGCAGGGAGTCTCCGTGCCTGCAGCAGCAGTGCCTGTTTCCCCAGCTGGTGGATAGGCTGGGGACCCCCTGTTGGTACATGGGGGGCAATGAGCTGGACCCGTGCAGCCCCATCAGCTCCAAACACCTGCCTGGATGGACCCAGGGAGACCTGGTTTTCTGCTCGCTCTACTAGGAGGAATATTTAATGCTGGATTAGACATGCTGCTAGACTCCAGCAGGACGTGGGGCAGAAATGCTCAGCCCTGCCAGGGCTGCAGACTGGTGCCTCTCACAGAGATGAAGCTCTGCTGTGGTCCTTGCTCCACTTGTGCCCTCTGGACAGTGCTGGGTGTGGGGTGCAGGCAGCTGGATTCAGGCTCTGCCTTCTGCTGCTTGGTGTCTGCATCCCCTCAGCTGGGAAGCCCTGGAGCCACATGTGCCCTAGGAGCTCTGAGTTGCCTTGTCACAAGTGTCCTTGGATTAAGACCAAAGCAAACATGGCCATTAAAATGTTTTTTAATTCAGTGGTGCCCCTTGCTGTGCCCTTTGTGGCTGCAGGACAGAACAGGGGGCGAGGGAGGGGGGATACTCAATAGCTCATCACAGGCTGCCAGGCTATAAATAAGAGGGGGAGGTGACAAGGGGGTGGAGCTGAGCCTAAACAGGGAAGAGGGTGCTGAAAGCATTTGAGGTTATTTGGGAACCAGCAGCTGCAATTATGCAGGATGGGTGCTCAATCTGGGGTGATCCTCGGTCCCACAGGGCTCAGGGCTGCTGGGCTGTCACAGGGCACTGGCAGCTCCCATGTCCCTGGAGAGATGTGACATGCCAAGGGCAAGTGTGTGCCCTGAGCCCACAGCAGCCCTTTGAACATGTAAACAGATGCCACATGTTTGGCTGGGTCCGGTGGTGTCTGGGGGGGGCAGGGGTGACAGGAGGGGTACAGATGCTGGGGTGCAGAGCGAGTGGTCCAGGAACTGGGGGTGCTGCCAGGGCTGCTTCCTGCGGGGCAGTGCAGCAGAGGAGCACACGAAGCTCTTTGCCTGCTGCCTCAGCTGCCACAGCCCTACACAGGGTAAAGCATCACCGGCACAGCAGAGCTAGAATCCCTCTGGACAGGCGTCAGGGCTGCAGGTCCCTGCCAGCGTTGGAGCCCTCTCCCTGTGCCACGAAACCCCCCAGAGCGGGGCCCTGAGCTGCCCGGCCTCGGCATCCCTGCAATGCGCTGCGCCCAGCAGCGGCTCAGGCTCGGCGTGCTGCTCCTGCCACAGCCGGACAGCGCTGCCCCCCTCCCCGGGAACCGGGGGATCAGTCCCGGCCTTTCCCGGCGGCTCTCCCGATCCCGAGAAGGCGGCACTAGGATCCAGCGGCTCTCCCGATCCCGAGAAGGCGGCACTAGGATCCAGCGGCTCTCCCGATCCCGGGCGGGCGGCACTGGGACCCGGCCTGGGCGGCGGCAGAGGGGCGGTCAGTATTGGCAGCGATATCAGTAACGGCACGATATCAATACCGGCAGTGATATCGATACCGGCTCGATATCAATACCAGCAGCGATATCGATATCGGCAGTGGTATCGGAGCCGTCCGTGGACCTCGCGCGTCCCGGCCGGGCCCGTTCAGCCGGTGCAGGGGCGGAACGCGCCGTGGCCGGGCGGGAGAGCGGCCCTGCTCCCGGTGTAACGGGGATGGAGGGGTAGGAAGGGTCCGGTTCCCTCTCGTGTGGCCCCGGCCGGGGGTGGGGGATGCTCCCCGGGGCGGGGGAGGACTCGCACGTAGGAGTGGCGGGAGGCTGGCACCCGGGGCCGGGCGGGTTTTCCCTTCCCGGTGGGCAGAAGGGTTCGCATCCGGAGCTGGGGGACCCCCGGCGGAGGAAGGGGGCTGGATCTGAAGCAGGCTTTTCCCGCAGAGCGGCAATGTGAGCCCCTGTCCCGGCCATGGCCGAGCCCGCTGGAGGGACCAGGCTGCACTCGCCGCCCGCGGGGCGCAGGAGGTGACGGACTCCTCATGAGAGCCCCCAGCAGGTAAGGCACTCCGTGGGGTCCCACATGGCCCGAGAGATATGGAGGGAGTGAAGTGGGGTCCGGGAGTGGGGGTCCCACAGCGTCCCCAGCCTTCGCACGACGAAGCCCCCCAGCATCATCACGCCCGGCAATGGCCTGGGCTCCCCGGGCAGGCTGGTACCTTCTGGCACCACCACCAGCCCTGAGAGCGTTTCGAGGTGTCAGCTCCCCCCAGGGGTTGATCTCAGGCTGTTGCATAATTTGCCTTGTGACAATTAGTAAAGAGGCTTCAGTGGTTTTTAATTTCCACTTGCTTGGAGCGCTCCCGGAATGGCTGGGGCTCAATAACCAGGGCTCCCAAAACTAAACTGGGTCAGTCCGCTTTGAGTGGAAGTTAGAGTGGGTCCCGGGCCTGGAGAGGTCCCTGCAAGTCTGCTGGGTGCAATCCAATGCATGTGCTGAATGGGGCAGGTGTCATTTGCTTCCACTCCCTCCTGATCCAAGACTCCTGTGGTGGTGGTTTTAATGGAATTTCACTGCACAAGCAGCAAGTTAACCCTCCCTAACCCTGTGGTTTGAGTGGTTTCATCCCCAAGAAGGGAGGATAATTCTCCCTGGACCCAGCTTAACGTGGGGATCCCCCAGGCACAAGTTGTTCTTCTACACCCCGGAGTCTTCCCAACCTCTGTCCACAGCATTTCTTTTCCCCTCATAAATTCTGGGGGATTGTTCTCTTCTTCAAAGGGGGACTTGGAGACTTGTCCTGTGTACACCTGATCCTGCACTCCCACCAGCCTGGGGACGAAGGGCTGGGCTGGGGGTGACCACATGCCTTGCAGGTGCTCGTGGGACGCCGGGGATCACTGCGTGCTGAGGCCAGCACGGAGACATGAGTGGCAGTGCGGTGAGTGCCAGAGAATCACCTCGAGGACCTCCTGGGGACAGCAGGCATCCTGCTGGAAATGCCATGGGAGTGGGGTGGGTGCTGACCCCATGAGGTGGGGGCAGCGGCTGACGCTCTCCCCCTGCCCACAGAGCCAGCGCGCCGCCGCCCTGGGGGTCCTCTTTGCCCTGATCATGTTGCTGATCATCTACAGCTCCGGCAACGGGAGCGAGGTCTTCCCCTATAGCCGCCTGCGGGGCAGAGCCCGCCGGCCCCCCAACCTCAAGAAGTGGGGGGTGAAAAGCGGGTACCTGCCTGTCTGTGGGAACAAGGTACGAGCTGGGCAGCGGGGCCGGGCCTCAGCGGTGACATGGGGTCTGTCCCTCTGCTGACATCCGGCCAAACTGTCCCCTCCCGAGCACAGTGGCTCCACAGGGAGCAGTACCCTGTCCATGGTGACACCACAAGTCACCTGCTGATGGCACTTGTCATCACCAGACCCTGACTGCCCGCTGCCACCAATGCGTCATTGTCACCAGCTCCAGCCACCTCCTGGGCACCCACCTGGGCACGGTCATTGACGGGGCCGAGTGCACCATCCGCATGAACGATGCTCCCACCACGGGCTACAATGCTGATGTGGGCAACAAGACCAGCTTCCGCGTGGTGGCCCACTCCAGCCTCTACCGTGTCCTCAAGCGGCCCCAGGAGTTCGTCAACAAGACCCCAGAGACCATCTTCATCTTCTGGGGGCCTCCCACCAAGATGCAGAAGAGCCTCCTGAAGATCATCCAGCGTGTCTGCACCTCGTTCCCCAACATGACAGCCTACGTTGTCTCTCCTCGCCGCATGAAGCAGTTTGATGACCTGTTTCGGGGAGAGACAGGGAAGGACAGGTACCTCAGAGCCACCTCTTGTGCTGTGTCCCCCTTTCTCCAGGTTCTCAAGACAGAGCTGACTCTTGGAACTGCTTCATGGGCTGCAGCATTGAGCTGGGGGTCCCTGAGGCACGTTGGGGACACTGAGGGGGTCCATTGCCCACATCAGCTCACCCCTGTCATCCTTCCTGTTGTTTTTCCTCCCCAGGGAGAAGTCTCGCTCGTGGCTCAGCACTGGCTGGTTCACCATGGTGATTGCGGTGGAGCTGTGTGACGCCGTCCACGTCTACGGCATGGTGCCACCCAGCTACTGCGGGTGAGGAGACCCCCCAGGCCCCCACCCCAGCTCCCTGACCCCACCATGGGGCTCACCCAATGTTTCTTTCCCTGCTGCAGCCGCCACCCCCCGCCCCGCCGCCTGCCCTACCACTACTACGAGCCCAAGGGCCCCGACGAGTGCACAACCTACATCCACAACGAGCGGAGCCGCAGGGGCAACCATCACCGCTTCATCACTGAGAAGAGGGTGTTTGCCAGCTGGGCCGGCCTCTACAACATCACCTTCTCCCACCCCACCTGGACTTAGGGGCTGCCCCACACCTGCTAGGCAGACCCCTGGAGCTGGGATGGATGGGGGTTCCCCTGCATCCCCCTGGGAGTGGGGGGAGCCCTGGCTCAGGGTGCCACCAGCTGCCTCCCACAGGACCACTGCTGTTGGTGGCTCCTTGCACCTGGGATGTGTTGGGTTTTGAGCTGGTTTTTGGGGGCCAGGTGGTGAATGTAAGATTTGGGGTGTCCTCCCTCCATGTGCAGGATGCTTGGCCATGATATCCTGCCCCATCCTGGTCCATGCACATTGCAGCCCTTGTGAGCCTGTAAGGGGGTTCCAGGTCCCCTCAGCTCAGTTTTGGTTTACACCACTTCTGGGGTCACCACAGAGATTGTTTGCCCCAACCATCTGGGTGGGGAGATTCCCTCTTGGAGCTCAGCTCCCCTCTGCCTTCCCCAGCCTCCTCATCCCCAGTCCTCAGTCATCCTTCCTGCAGCAGAACCCCACAGTTTTTGGTGGGACCCCATGGGGGCAACATTGCCACCCTCCCCGTCCCAGCACCCCAAAAACACCAGCCCCTCCTAGCACCGCTGTGCCCCATACTGCCAAAAGCTTTTCTAACTGAAAGATAGGCTTTTGGGGAGCTTTTTGGGGGTTTTGGCTTTTTTTTCTCCCTGCTTCTAATCCTGGAGATTGTACTTGGGTTTCCTGGATGAAGGAGTGAGCAGGGGCTGCTCATTAGTGATAACAAAGGGCCAGCAGCTGCTTATAAACAATTTAGAAGTGGGCAGGTATTGAGGGGCAGTGGTGCCTCTTGGTACCCTGTGGCTGGAACAGGACTTTGTTATTAATTTCTCAGCAGCAGAGAAGGTGATCTGGGGAAAGCACCTAAATATGGTGTGTGGCCTTGGCAGGAATCCATTCCTCAGTTTCCCTCTGGTTGGGGTTTTGGGGGGCTCAGTGCTGGGGGAAGCAGTGGGGCGCCCATGTTTTGTAATTGTTTGTACAGGAATAAATATTGCTGCAGTCTGTTACCTTGAGCCCTGGCTCTGGATGGGTTTTTGGGGATGATGGCAGTGACCCCCAGCCCACAGCAGTGCTGTCCCTGGGCACTCAGGAGGGTGTGGCAAGGTGCCCAGCATGTCCAGGTGGGATCCATGTCCAGTCCCTGGCTGACTCCAGCTCTGAGCCCCCTCCACAGTATCAGGTGGCAGCTGAGACCTCCCCAGATTGTGTCACCCCAGCCAGGTGCCCTGGGGTCACAGAGTCTTGTGACAGGGCCTGTGCAGGCACAGAGGAGGAGGAAGGGCAGGTAAGTGCGAGGACTGGGAGATCACAGTTGCCTGTCTCCAAGTCTGGTGCCACAGAAGGGCTTTGCCATGAGATGGGCACAGAAGGGAGCAGCACGATGGCACTGGCTCTGGTCTGGCACATCCTGGATGACACACCCAGACAAGCTGTGGAGGGGAAACTGCTCAGACACATATCAAACAAATCACCCCCAGTTATGGGATGGTTGCATCTGCAACCATCGAAGCCCCTCTTCCCCCTGCCAAACATGCCTTAGACTTTTATGTAAATTATATGTAAGAGGAACTTGAGATAAAATAAAGGTGGTACTATTGTCCAAGCATTATCTCAGATTACGGGTGGTAAATAAAATTGGGGGAGAAGAATGTATCACTGATAATGGCCACAAAGAATCCACAAGGAAAGCCAAGTAACTGGTGGATGGAATCAGCTCCGGCTGGGTAAAAGGTAATTCTGGCAGGGGGAGATCACAACCATGGACCCAACTAGAAGAGAAAGACTGAGCATGGGATTACCATTAGAAGAGAGGGAATCATTTAACCAGTGGAATAAAGAAACTGGGTAGCAAATGAGCATTAATGCCTTTATTTGCAAAAATGTATAAATAGTGAAAAGTTTTCAACAACCTCAGGACCCTAACCACCATGAAGACCAGGGTGAAGAAGGACCAACGAGATGCTGAGAGATCCACGGGTGGTGATAATTTTCTGCTTGACCGATCTCTCTCCCCCCACCTCCCCACCCTCATTCCTCTTTTCTACTTCTTTCTCTACCTCACATTTTATTGTTAAATAAAATATGTACTATTGGCTTTGGCTTCCAATATCTCTCACTAATCAACTCTTAACAAGGACACAGCACCCCTGGGGTCTTACACCCCGGGAGCTGGGCAGGAGGGATGTGTAAGCTAGGGATGGGATGGGGACATGGGGATGGGATGGGGACATAAGGACATTAGGGACAAGGATGGTGACAGTAGGGATGGGATGGGACAGGAATGGGGACATGGGGACTGGATAGGGACATTAGGGATGGGATGGGGACATGGGGATGGATTGGGGGTATGAGGGTATTAGGGACAAGGATGGGGACATCAGGGACAGGGATAGGGAAATGAGAACGGAATGGGGGCAGAAAAGGGGAAGCGACATGAGGACAGTGACGAGAAGAGCATTCCCCTGCGAGGAGCTGGGAGCGGAGGCACGGGGAGCCCCGGAGCCCCCAGACCCGGCAGGGTGGGGGCTGCCCTCTCAGGCGGACCCGCACCCCCGAGCGGTGCAGGGTTAAACCGCCCGTGCGGGCGGGCGCAGGGACCGCTGTGTCCCCCCCGTCCCCCCCTGTCGCTCCCTGTCCCCCCCTTGTCCCCTCCTGTCGCTCCCTGTCCCCCCCTTGTCCCCCCTGCCCCCCCGTGGCTCCTGGTCCCCTCACGCCGCTCGCTCGCGCCGCCGGTGCCGCGCGCTCCCGGCGTGCCCCGCGCCGCCGTGCTCTATAAATAGCGGTACCGGCGGGCCCGGCGCGGGCGGCGGCGGGGCCAGGTCAGTGCGGGACCTCCGCGGGGCCGGCCCAGGCCGGTGCGGGACCCCCGGGGGCGGGGGCGGCGAGGGAGGCTTCGGTTCTCGCTTGCGAGCGGTGGCGGGGGCACGGCGGGGGTGCTGGAGCAGCCCGGTGAGGGGCTCGGGTCCCAGGGAGGGGCTGCGGGGCGCTGGCTGCCCGTGGAATACGAGGGCTGGGTTGGAGCTGGCGGTGGGGTGAGATCGCTGGGGCACCCCGGCGTGCAGCCAGAAAGGGCCTCGGCTGGGGAGCCACAAAGCCACCCTGCAGCCCCCTCCCCAGCCCCGACCCGGGCGGCTCAGCGCTCTCCCCGGTCACCTCTACATCACCCTCACCCTTCAGCCGTGGGACCGGCACCGCGCTGGATCAGGCACCCGGCTCACACTGAGGGCCGGGGCTGCCCGCAGACCCCGATCACCCCACCAAGACTAGTGCCAGCTGTCCTGGGTCTCAGCACCCTCACAATCAGGGTCCCGGGGGTCCTGCACCCCCCGAACCCCGTGGGGGCCATCTCAGGACTTTGTCCCGGCAGCTCTGGTGGGATGTGACTCGGTGCCGGTTTCAGTCCGGCCATTCTTAGCCCCTGCCCTTTCGAGGTTGTAACACGACCTGTCAGCGGCTACGGGCTCCTCTGGCCACGGGATGCCCCGTGCCTGCACCCCGTCCAGCCGGTTTGGGGTGACGCGCTGTGGCCAAGCAGCTCGGGTGCTGCGGGGCTGGGTGTGAGCAGGCGGGGTGGCCAAACACGCCCTCGAGGTTTTGGGGTGCAATGGGGTGCTGCAACCCCCTCCTTAGGACAGCCCCTAAAAGCAGCCCGTGGGGAGCTGGGGGTGCTGTCTCCACCACTCGCTGTTGTGGTGGCACCGGGCATCCCAAGCGGGTTTCCTGCTGTCGGGCAGCACCCCAGGCATTGGGATGTGGGCAGGGCAGGGGAGGAAGCCGACAACGTCACCACGCGTCACCCGGCATGGGGATGCCCTTACCGCAGCCGGATGCGGAGGGTGACTGCTGGGAACCAGGTGAGTGATGGCCGCAGAAGCAGAGATCCCTCAGCTCCCTATTCCAGGGCTGAGCCAGGAGTTGTGTCTTCCATGCCATCCCCCCCGGCCTGGCCTTGGAGCTGGGCACCATCATGGCCAAAAAGAGACCCTTTCTCCCCAGTGTTTCTCCCCAGACACTTGGTGACCTGATGTGCTGAGTTGTTTATCCTGCTCTTTCCTGGCAGCCTTAAGTGCTTCTGTGCCTGGACTACGTCAGCATGTCGACAGGTGAGTGATCTGTCTCCCTGCATACATTCCAACTGCATCCATCCCCTCAGTGTTCCCTGCATCCATTCCCTCTGCATCTCGCTGTCTCCTTGGTATCCATTTCCTTGGTTGCCCCCTGCATCAATCCCCCCTGGAATTAACCCCCCTCGTCCCCACTGTATCCATCCCCTCTGCATGCCCCTGTCCCCTTTTTATCCAACCCCTTTGGTCCCCCTGCATCCATCCCCCCTGCATCAGTCCCCTTGGTCCCCCCTGCATTTGTCCCCCTTACATGCAGCCCTGGTTCTCTTTGCATTCCTCCCCTCCACGTGCCTCTGTGTCCTTGCCTCCCTCTCTTCTGTCCATCCCCCATGTCCCTCCAGCCCCCCCACACGCCCCACATCCCATTGGTCCCTGCCAGACACTTGGCTCCATCCCCAGTCCTGGGGAGTGCTGGATGCCAAGGAGTTGAAATTTCATCCAGCTGTAATCAGGAGATGGGAAAGTGGCCCCAGAGCAGCTCAACTTTATTTTTAACTCTGCTTCCCCCTTTTGGCATCACACCCTGGCATCACCCCACGCCACGGTTGGTGCACAGATCCCACAGGTGGTGAGAACCCTGTGCCATGGTGCTGGGCAGGGGACGGGGCAGTCAGTGCCACTTGCACATCGGCCACCAAGTCCAGGGACCGATGCTGGGCTCCAGGGACTGCTGGGGTTGTGCCAGGTGCTCGAGGTGGCCGAACCTGCCCCGGCCTCAGTTAGCCCAGTGGGGTGAGAAGCCGGCCACAGGGATGGATGAGGCCAGTCCCTGCCTACGGGGGAGCCGTGGACAATGACCACCTCTGGGACACCACGTGGCACTGGAATTCCAGCCCCATGGCCAAGGTGCCATGGAGTCTTTGTGCTCAGATGTGGCCAGACATCCCAACCTGCCCAGGTGACCAGGACACACGTCTGCTTCCCTCTCCATCTTCCTCCCAGGTCTCTCCTGGATCGGTCCCCTCCATCCCCAGGGATGCCTGCCCTGGATCTGGCACCCCCTGGGGATACCTCACTCCCACATGGACCTTTTAGCTTTTGATAATTTTTTTTTTCTTTTCTCTCTTCCAGAAAAGCTCAAGCAGCACAAAATCATCTTTGTGGTGGGTAAGTCTGTGTCCAGATCCTGTCACTGGTGGGGTCAGTACAGGCCTTTTCCCTGTACCTCTGGGCTGGGGAAACAGGGCTGGAGGCTGAGACTGGGCTATTCCTAGGCACTGGGATGGCCATGGCTCCAGCTTGGCTCCTCAAGGCCACGTGGGGTATGCTGAGATCAGGAAGGCACCTCTGGCCAGGCTTGGGGTGGCAGCATCTGGGTTGATGTGACAGTAAACCACTGGGGGTTGATGTGACAACAAACCCCTGGGGATAATGTGACAAAACCCTGGGTGCTGATGCCCTGGGTGCCATCAGGATGTGGTGCCCATATGCCAATTCCCAGCAGCCCATGCCACCCCCAAGCACTTGGGCAACTTCAGGAGGAGCTCTGTCCATCCACTTGGTGCTGGTCTTGGGGACACCAACTGACATGTCACTGAGCTCTGAGGACTCCTGCTCCCATGCACCTCTCCCTCTCCTTACCCATGGCTTGGGACACACATGTGCCTTGCAGGTGGCCCCGGCTCAGGGAAAGGGACACAATGTGAGAAGATTGTGCAGAAGTATGGCTACACCCACCTCTCCACGGGGGACCTGCTGCGTGCAGAGGTCAGCTCAGGCTCAGAGCGGGGCAAGAAGCTGCAGGCCATCATGGAGAAGGGAGAGCTGGTGCCCCTGGTAAGTCCTCACCAGCCATCAGCTGCCACATGGTGGGGTGTGCAGGGGTGGCAGTGGGGACACCAGATACCACAGTAATGGCTGGCACATGGCTCAGGCATCTCTGGCCCTGCCACCCCAGGGTGGGGTTTGCAGCAGGGGTTGGGGTGCTGGGTGGGAGTCGTGTTGTCCCCTATCAGCCGTAGCAGCTCTGTCCTTCCCCCTCCAGGACACGGTGCTGGACATGCTGCGGGATGCCATGGTGGCCAAAGCAGACGTGTCCAAGGGCTTCCTGATCGATGGATACCCCCGTGAAGTGAAGCAGGGAGAGGAGTTTGAAAAGAAGGTGAGGACTGGTGCCGTGCTGGGCCATGCCACACACCAGCTGCTAGCACAGGGACTCAATTCAGCAGCAGCCTGGCCTCCCCATCCCAGCAGAGATCACATCCCAGAAGGGTCTAAACTGGGCAGCAGGCCCCCTGCCTCAGGACAGCCTGTGCCCAGAGCACAGTGGGAGGGACCAGGGTGTCCTCAGGCCGACAGAGCATGACAACAGTGCTGACATGATGGTGATGGCAGAGAGCCAGGGCTTGGCCACAGTGTCCCTTTGCCTCCCTCTACATGGCCCTAGAGGCCACTGGAACAGTGTCCTGGTGGCTCCCAGACCAAAGCGGAGGGAGGTAGAGGGTGGTGTGGGGACATCTGTGACCCTCATGCTGGCCACCACCCCCCCAAGCCAAACCAGACCCACACCAGCTCAGTGTGGTGACAGCCATGTCCCCTGTGTCCACAGATCGCCCCCCCCACGCTGCTGCTCTACGTGGATGCGGGGAAGGACACAATGGTGAAACGCCTGCTGAAGCGAGGCGAGACCAGCGGGAGGGTGGATGACAATGAGGAGACCATCAAGAAGCGTTTGGAGACCTACTACAAGGCCACTGAGCCTGTCATTGCCTTCTACAAGAGCAGAGGCATCGTCCGCCAGGTGAGCGAGGATGTGGCTGATGCCAGCACCCTCCAGCCTCACAGCTTGGGGCTTGTGTCCCAGGGGAGGGGAAGTGTTGGATGGGGATGATGAGGGAAGCAGGAAAACTCAATTCTGCCTAGTTTGGGGTGGGCCTGATCCCTCTCATTCCCAACACGGCCCCCTCCAAGGATGGCCTGCACCCCTTTGCCCTAAATGAGCCCTGGTCTCTTCACCCATGGCCAAAATGCATCCTTGGAAGAGTTCCAGTTGCTCTTGGATGAGAGCCCTCGGGCGAGTCCCCCAGCTAACCCCTCTGTACGCAGCTCAACGCCGAGGGCTCCGTGGATGAGGTTTTCCAGCAGGTCTGCACCCACCTCGACTGCCTGTAACCAAACCCCCAGCCCCAGTTTCCCCCAGTGCACTCCAGCAGAGACAGCGGAAGCGGCTTTATCCTGTTTTCATGGACGGAGCCATGTGGAGGAAATTTCAAGGACATTGTGTTTGGCTCTTTCCCGTCTCTCCCCAGTAAAGTTCACTTTAATGAATCCAGACTTTATCTTTTTCTTCTGTCGCAGGAAATGAGTTTTTCTTTCCAGAGTTTTTTTTTTTTTCTCCCCCTCTGTCGTCCCCCCCCCAGCCCCTCTGGAGCTGATTAAGGGCCGGAAGCGTGTGTTTATCCCACCGGGGCAGCGGGATGCTGTGCTCAGAGGAAGGGAGGGAGCATCCCAGCCGCTCGCCCTGGCTTCCCAATCTGTGGCCTGCAGGGAGCCTGTGTCTGCATCCTCCAACCAGTCCTGGCCACCCTCATTCTGTCCCGATTGCTGAACCCCCTCGTGCTCTGGGTGTGTGTCTGGACACACAGGCAGCATCTGAGTCGTGTCCTGCACATGCCTCCCTTCCTCTCAGCTCTCCCACTGGCTGCCAGGGGCTGGAGGTGACCGGATTTGGGATGGGGAATTACACCACTTTCATGCCTTGGAATTTCCTTGTTTCTGTTGGTTGTCAGGGTTTTTTGGGGTACGCAGTGGCTGCACTGTGATGGTTTGTGGTGGCACAATGCCATGGAGTGGGGTGCTCCCTGTCCTGCTGTGCCTGGACACTCAGTGACACCAGGGGATAAGGAATGTGCTGGGGACCCCCAGATGAGCCCAGCCACCAGGCTGGGTGTCCTCCTGGGCTGTGGGACTGGGTGGGTGCCCTCACAGTGGTGAGTCACAGGACCCCAAAAGAGAGTTCGGGGTGCTGGTGTGGGGGACAGGGGATGTGGGGGTTCCCCAGCACCCACAGAACCACACAGGCACAGTGCCAGAGCAGAGGGCCTGCAGTGGAACTTGGGGACACGGTTTACGCAGCTACACAGAGGGCAGGAGGTATCAGAGCTGCAACCCCAACAGGGCCCCCACCACTTACTTTTGGACTACTGGGAGCTGGGCACGGAGCCAGGGAGCCGGGATGGCAGGAGGGGCGGCAGCATTGGGGTCAGCCAAGGCCACGAGGCCAAGGAGTCAGAGTGGAGAAAGGAAGCCAGCAGGGAAAAAACAAAACTCCCCAAGACGAAAACCCAAACTCACCAGTCAGCCCGACGTCAGCCCCGTGCTCGGGGGGCCACGAGCCACCGGCAGAGCCTGGGGCACTGCGAGGAGGCAGGCGGGCAGGAAGGATGCAGCCATCCGGCCGGGGCTGGGACGCTGCCAGGACAACGATCCAGGGCTGGGGCCGGCGAGTGCTTGCCTTGTGCTGGTGGAAACAAGGGGACAGAGGGGTCGTGTGGTTTGGGACACCATGGCCTAAAGCTGGGGAGTGGGGAGACCCATCTCTCTTGTGCCTCCAGCCCTCTGTGGGTGTGCTGTGGGTGTGCCTCAGTTTCCCCGGGTGGCGACTCGGGCATGGAGTGGGACAGGGACCCTGCCCTGCTTCCCAGTACAGCCCTGAGTGCTTGGTGTTGGGGTTTAGATGCTTTTCCTCTGTTTTGAAAGTGCAAGGCCATCCCATATGCTGCCAGGGGGGATGATGCTGGGCCGAATGGGGTGCAGGGGGCTGCACGTGTGGCCACCCCACAGCCACAGCCACCCTCCTTCTGTCACACTGTCTGCCACCATCCCTGTGTCCATCACCGAGGGTCTCTTGGTCGTTGTCCTGCGGTGTCACCGTGGGGAGAGGGGTGTGAGGGAGCCAGATCTGTGCCGGGTCCCGGTCCCCATCGCTGTCCCCGTCCCCGGGTGAGCACCCGTCCCCGCGGTCCCCAGGAGATGGCAGTGCTCTGTCATGGGAGATGGTTGCTGCTCACCCCTGGTCACAGACATCTCCGGGGACATCCTGCCTGCTGGGGACAGGCGTCGCTGATTTCCCTGGCACCTTTCCCTTCTGTCCCCATGCCCCTGAAGCACGAGACGAGATGAAAACCATCCCCGGGGACCTGCGGCCCCCCCAGCCTGAGAGTCGCAGTCCCACCAATAGCTGTCTGAAGGCTCTCACCTCGGCCAGCAGAGATGTGGAGGAAGGGGTAGGAGTGCAGAAGAGGGTCCCTGGTGCTCCTTCAGCACTGCTCACCTGTGACCCCCTTGCCTTTGACTCCCTCACCCAGGGCCCCTTGTTCCAAGGGATCTCCTGACCCCAAGCCCACCTGCCAGGTGGGGGTGTCCGGGCAGCTCCATCTGTGGCTTGGCCAAGAGGACAGGCAAGGCTGGCAGTGGTGCTCGGGGGCTTCCACCAGCCCACACCAGGGGGTGTCCAGGGCCGTGGGGCAGCCACCAGCCTGTGACCCTGCTAGGGCGCTGGCTGAGAGCAGTGGGGGCTGAATGTCGGCAGCAGCCCCTTCCCTATTGCCTGGGCAGTTCCCCATCCCCATCACTGGGGGCAGCTCGGGAATAATTTGGGTGGGTGGACCCCACCAGAACCCCCGTATCCAACCCTTCCACTCACTAGTGCCATCCCTGGGTGTCCCTGGGGGCACCTACCCTGGGTACCAGTGCCCTCCCCCTCCCCGGGGCGCTTCCAGTGCGTCCCCCCGAGTGTGCAGCCCCGCACGGCGCTGTAGGGAAACTGAGGCACGGCTCCTGCGGGGGAGGGGGTTCCATCCTCTCCGCCCCCGGCCCCTCCGGCCCGGCCCCAGCGCCGCCAGCGGCATTTCCTCCGCCGCGGACCGTCCTCCGAAGGGAGTCGGTTTCCTGCCGCTGCCGCCGCCCGCACTCGGCGCTGGCTCCCGAGGAGCGGCCGCAGGCGGATATGGGCCCCCGCTCCGTCCCGCTCCTGCCGCTGCTCCTGGCGCTGCTCGGCCGCCCGGGTGAGTGGGGACGGGAGGCACCGGGGGACCGGACCCCGGGGATGAGACTCGCGGGATGGGACCCCGGGACGGGACCCCCGGGACGGGACACTCGCCGCGGCGGGACCCGCCGGTGACTCTGGATCGGTGGCCAAAGGGGTCCCGGCTGTGCCCGCACAGGCAGTGATTGTCACCCTCGGGAACTCCGCGGGAGAGGAGGTTTTTGGGGAGCAGCCTCGATGTGGGAAGGGACGAACCCAGCCCGATTCCCGGAACACACACAGCACAGCCCTGCCGCTCCCTGGGACCCCTGAAGTCCCGGCTGCGTCACTGGGGCGTGCGAGATGCTGAAGCCCGGGCTGAGACCGTGGCCCACGGGGGTCTGGGTGGCTTTGGTGGCTTCCCATCACCACGGAGTATGAGGGGGTTGACCGGGAGATGGGGACGAGAAATGGGAAAAAACCGTTAAAGCCTCAAATGGGAGTTGGGGGCTTAGATGCCTTCCGGAGCTGTCAGAGCCACCCCGAGATCCCTGCAAAGCCACAGGGGGAATTTCAAGGAGGGACGCCAGTGCTGATGGAGCTGGGGAACAGGGAGCTGGGGGACTTGGGGACATAGCCTGCTGGCAGAGGGGAACTTGGAAAGCAGCAGCCAGCCAGAGAGGCTGGGGCCAGCGGCACTGAGTGTCCTGACTGGGTTGGTCCCTCCTGGTCATCTTGGGGGCCAGTGCTCATGGGTGGTGCTGAGGTGGCCCTTCTGCCAGGCTTGACGCCCACTCTCTTATGTCACAACCCTGTCTGGTGGCTGTGCCAGACAGTCCCTCTCGGGTGAAGCTGTGTTGTGTGCACCATGTCCCCTATAGTGGTGCCATACAGTTTCCATCCTTGCAGATGTACAGTAAGTTCCATGTCTTGTGTAATTGTGAGGCTCGGTGCCCATCCTATAGCTGTGCCACAGTCCCTGCCCTATGGCAGTGCCATGGTGTCCCTATCCTGTGCAGGTGTGCAGTAAGGTCTGTGTCCTCTGTAGCTTTCTTGTATAGTCCCCATCCTATGCTCCACATCCTGCGTCATTGTGCCACAGAGACCTTGTCCTCCTTGTCTATGATGTATAGTCCCTATACCACACAGCTGAGCCATCTGGTCCCCATCCTACACAGCTGTGCCATGTGCCCATGACATTTGTATTTGTCCCCAACAGTCTCCACCCTATATGGCTGTGCCATACATGCCCTAACAGGGCTGTGCTATATGGGCTGGGTCCTACATAGCTGTGTCATATGGTCCCCATCCTGAGTGTCTGTTCCTAAGGTCCCTGTCCTGTTTATCTGTGTTGTATGATCCCCATCCCACGTAGCTGTGGCACACAGTCCCTGTGCTCTGTAGTGGAGCTATACAGTCCGTATTGTATGTGTCTGTATGGTCCCTGTCCTGTGTCACTCTGCCATTTAAACAGACCATCTCCTCTGGCCATACCACCCCTAACCTGCAAAGCTGTGCTGTATGGGCATGACTGTGCCATGTCATTGTGCCATGTGGTCCCCATCCTGTGTATCTGTGCTATATGGTCCATGTCCTGCGTAGCTGTGACACATGGTCCCCATCCTGCCTACCTGTGCTACTCATCACATCCTATCCAGCTGCTGCTTCTTCCTCACAGGAACTTCTGGGGCTGGGGGTGCCCACAGTGGGCACAGTCACAGTGGAACAGGGGTGCCCTTGGTGGGTGCAGTGCTGTAGGACTGGGATGGCCATGGTGGGAGCAGTGCTGTGGGACTGGGATGGCCATGGTGGGAACAGTGCTGTGGGATTGGGGTGCCCTTGGTGGGTGCAGTGCTGTAGGACTGGGATGGCCATGGTGGGAGCAGTGCTGTGGGGCTGGGATGGCCATGGTGGGAGCAGTCCTGTGGGACTGGGGTGCTCTTTGTGGGAGCAGTGTCAGGGTGTCTCACAGACACAGCCAGCTTCCAGAGGTGGGGGACTTTGTGCCCCCTTGGCAGGGGCCAGCACTGGGGTGAGCATGGTGCTGGGTCACCCCTCCCATCTTTGAGGAGAGGCAGGAATGATGTGGCTTGTGTCAGGCCCAAAGCCTGGACCAATCCACCCCATTATCCAACCCCCAATGCCACCTCAGCATGGTCCAAGAGCCAGAGGTGGCTCAGAGGATGACAATTTCCTCTCAGTGCAGGATCCATCCCCATTCCTGTCCTGGATCAGCTCATTACACAAGTGCCGAGGCATTGCTGCAGATGCAAGGATTCCAAAGTGGAGCTGCCCATCCCAT